CTTGGCGCGCAGGCGGATGGTTGCCTGGATCAAGCGCCGCTTCAGGTTGATTTCGATGTCCTCCTTGATCTTGTCAGCAAGATGGGAGAGGTCCACGCCGGGCTGGCTAAAGTCGACCTCCTCCCAAATGTTGATCTCCTCGTTGATGTGCTTCTTGTAGGCGTCAAAGGCGTCGGTGTACTTCTTGTTCTTGTACAAGGGCCACGACGCTTTGCTACACAGCTCGTTCACGGGAATGTCGTGTGTCTTTGCCACATGCCTCATGATGCCATGCACGGCTTTCGCCTTGGCGAAGGACTCTTCCTTGGCCGCTGCATCCTCTGGCTCCACTCGACGCTTGGACAAGTCCACGTAGCCCTTCTCCTCGTCAACTCGGAGCACCATGCAAATCTCTGTCCGGCCCACTCGCAGCAACTTGGCGACAGAGCGGATTCGCCTCTTCGACAGCTCGCTCAGCAGCAGCATCCCTTCTTGATTGTCATACTCGAGAAGGGACACGTAGGCGCCCATATCCACGATCCGCTTGACCTGGACCACCACTATCTCCTAAGTTCACTTGAGGCAGGGCTGCACATGCGCGTGGTGCATGGTCCATTCGATTCAAGAGGTCAAACTACTTCCAACTCACCAAGCCTTTGCATTCCCATGCCGTTCAGCCTTGGCCATGTGCAAGTGCTGACCAAAAGATCCGTTTAGTGTTGAAAGTGCGATTCTGGATACCGCCTGGGCGTGGCTTTGAAGACGTTCAAAGGCATCGTGGGCCTCTCTGCCTCACCCCCCCCCCCCCCGCCATGTTCATGCAACTCCTGGCAATCGTTCACATGACCAGTTGCAGGTCCAACAAATCTTGTGCACGTGCGTGCCCTAAGCATACACGCCTTGTGAGAATCCCCCCCCAGAAATATTACCACTGACTCCCCCCCGCCAATGTCCTTGTGCTTCTCCCCAACACCAAAAATCCTCAAAGCCTGTTCTCGTTTCTGTTCGGGTTCTGTGACATTTTCAATTCATGTTGCCAACTCATGTGTGAATTTCAGTTGAGTTGTGGTTCGGGCTCGTTTGGTTTTTTTCCCATGCTCATGCGCGGTTTCTCTCCTCCATCTCCGGAAACTCGGACTCATAGTAGCGGCCCTCCGATGCCATGGCTCCGCTTTTCCTTCCCCCCAAAAAGACGCCGAGGTTTCGATGGACCCTTTGAGCCTCGTGCTGGACGGGTATGCCCTCCAAATGGGTGTCTTTTTTTAGGGGATGGGGATCCCCATGGTGGTTTTTCCCTTGGCTTCCCTTTTGAAACCACAGGAAAGGGGTGAGCAAAGGAACTTTTTCTACACACGTACCGGTATGCCGGGGCAACGGGGGGATTTATTGGACACGACACGGCCAACCGCGACGTGATAATACGTGGACTTCACCACTGCGCTCTGGCAATCAAGAAGGGGTCGTTGCATCCTTTGACACATCACCCCACAAGACTCATCTGAAAATGGCAGGCTGATGATCAAATATGTTTCCCAACACTTGGGTGCTGTAGATTTGCCGGCAACAAGTTGAACTTTTTGCTGGTTGAAAGGAAATATGAGGGGAATCCAAAAGGTCAAAGTCTAAAGATCCACCCCAATAGCAGTAGGGAACAAAAGGAACATCCCATCCCTGCGGACGGCGAAGCCAATGTCCAGCTGAGCATGGCGCCCCGCCGGGTCCACGAAGGCAGTCTCCTGGCAAAGCACGTAGGCAAATGGGAGGCCTGATTGGGATAACATACTGTGGATGGACGAAATCCTGCACCACTTTGAAATCATGGAACACAGGGGAATCATTATTCCAGGGTTCTTAGGTGGTGCGAAATGGATTTCGTCCATCCACAGTATGTATGTATTTGACTAGAAGTTAACATCCCATGTCGGTGACCAACACAACATGTTGGGGTTGGTTTACGCACATCTAGTCACTTCATCCCAAGATACAACCACACTAAACAGTTCAACACACCATATTACCACATAAGAAGCGGTAGATTTGCTTCAGCCAAAGCCTGGCTTGCGCCTTCCAAACGCGCTAAACCGCTTGGGCTTCCAACATGTGCTTGTGAAATTCGCTATACCCAAAGGAAAGCTCAGCAAAACCACCAGCGGAACACCAGGAACTTGTGGTGCCAATCATTGAGCTGAAGCCAAATGCAGATCAAGTGGAGAGGTTGCTCGATTACTTTGGCTTGAGCCAAAGGAGTGATACTCAGCTTGCTGACGCATGCGTCTATGTGTCTATCCTAAAGCAGGGAAGCTCTCTTGAGTCTTTGGCTGGTTGCAACCATGTCTAGAGGCATTTTTGTTCACAAATCATTGCTTCCCCGGCAGATTCAAACACACTCCCTCTCCCAACATGTCGCGACGCCGACGAATTGCTCCTCATCTGGCTCCGAGGCTTTTTGGGACCGGAGGCTGCGCCCAAGAACGCCATAGGGCACCACCTCAGAGGGGGTCTTGGCTGCCTCTGAATAAGGGTAAGACCGCGGGCTCTCCAAATAAAGGTGACACGCATCAAACCAACCTTCCCAGAAATCAAAACCCTGGCCATTAGATTGACAGTTGAACATAGCACCCAAAACATCGAACCGGCAGCCGAGAGTGCCTTGCGGAACCCAAATAAAACCCTACGCAAGGCCTACAAACTCGCATGGAGCGCGGTCTTCAACCATCCCCACTTCCACTTTTTTCTAGCCTTCACAGAAAAAAACACATACTCTTATAAACGGAGATCTCCAGGGCTGCCCCGGGCCCCCTCCCCAAATCCATTTTAAGTGGACCCGGATCAAGACTTGGTGAATCTCGGCGTGCTTCAGGTCCTGGCGCTCCAATGGGCAGCGCGTCCCAAGTGCAGTGATGAGAAAGGTCTGGACCAAAAAATGGCCTCCCCCTAAGATGGATTGACGCCATTGGCTCACTAGAGTTGGTCTTCCAAGGAAAATTTGAAGTCTAGGACCTCGAAAGGTTCACTTGGCCCCCTTCCAAGAAGATCGATGGACCCGCGTCAGAATCACGCTGGGCCAAGGACCGTGATGAATTCCATAGGCCTGCGCAGCAACTCGCATTGCCCAACTGACCTGGAATTTCCGGGCATGACTTAAAGTGGAACCATAGGACGAAGACCAAAAGTCTTCACAGGTAGTACACCTTGGACAAGTGAGAAATTAATGACGAAGGCTTGCCCCTGTGCTGCAAGGGTCGCCTGCGCTGAACCTTCCGCATTTGCCTATATTGGCATATATATTGGCATATTTGTTGCACACTTGCTTGTAGTGCCTTGCGCAGTAGTACAAGCCCCACATTTCGGCCTGATAGAAGGTGTGTCACGCGTTGCATGACTCCAACCCTTGACCTGAAGACGCTTCCAAACGAAATACCGTTTTCCAGCACACAGAGATTTCCGCAGCGAAACAATTGGACCGCTGAGCGCTTTTACCACTCCCGACTCCGTTAAACTTTGGAGAGCCCAAAATCGAGGCACAACGGAAAGCGTATAGCGCCAGGATTGCCACCATGCTGCGTTGGATGCCCTAAAACCAGCAACAACGATCTCATCCCACTTCGCCCCTTGGAAGCATTTGCCCGGGTAACGCCGTAAGCAACAAGGCACCCTAGCACGGGGGGTTGCCGCGCGGAGATGCGGCAAGTCTGGTGAGTCTTGTTTCAGGCCGGTCCCGGCCACCCAATCAAATCACTGAAGGACATGTTCCGAAATCGCTGGTACTAAAACGGCAGCCCGGAAAAGGCAAGCCAACAACTTGGACCCAAGGTGTACGTTGATACATGGCCCTTGAAAAACAGGCGGTAACCCAAAAGTGCTGGGTACATCACCACAATTTTCAAGTTGAGACAACCCCGGTTTACACCCCAACTGTTCAAACAGCCTGCCTTTAGCGTCTCTAATGGGGAGGGTCTGATTGTTTAAGCTGATTTGCACCGAACGCTCTCCCGACTGCATTTGATTGCAAATGGGGTTTTGAAAGGTTTTTTCAGCCTCCTAAATGGGTTTGTGACCCCGCGAGCCAAACCATTCGGACTAGGAGCGAGGCCCGAACCCTCGGGCCTGTAAACGACCTGCGAAGGGCCATGGTGTGAGCTGTCATCCTCTTTCTTTTGGTTGGGGGGTGGGGGGGGGAAAGAGGAGAATCCGAGGAACCCCGTTGCAGACGAGTTCATCCTGGGTTACGTTGGTGTCGTGTGATACAAAAACAAAGGGATGTTTTGCAGGCCTGGGAATCGTTGCACTTTGGAGTCAGGCGGCCCTTAACCTAAACTCGGTGTGGATTTCCGTGACAAAACAGGAAGATCCTTCTTGTTGTTGGTTGATTTTCGCAGGAGACCCTTCCCAAAAGGAAAACCAGGTGTTGCTGGGCTGGGTGAAACAACCCTTCGCGCCTCGCGAGCGAATCCGCGCCGCGTCCTATGCTCTGTTGCTGTTGGTTGCACACCTTGAGCCAAACAGCATGCCGATGCCGTGCGTCTGGCTCGGAACCTGCTCTGCAATTATCCATGTGTGTGTGTGTGTCTTTGTGTATGTGTGTCTCTGTGTCTCTGTGTCTGTGTGTGTGTGTGTGTGTCTGTGTGTGTCTGTGTGTGTGTCTGTGTCTCTGTGGCTCCATGTCTCAGAGTCTCCGTGTTTGTGTGTCTGCGTACCCGTGTATGTGTGTCCTTGCCTCTCTGTGTCTCTGTGTCTGTGTGTCCGTGCGTCTGTGCGTCTGTGTCTCCATGTGTGTTTTAGGGTACCCTTGTTGCGATTGGTTCAAAGGGGAGCCGGGGAAACCAAACGGAGAGACCACCATTTTGGGGGTCCTCTAGTTGACACACACCCTTGCAAAATGGTTTCAATCTCAGCCGATCCCTGAAATGGTGGGTGCCCTTGTTGGACCCTGTGCCAAAAAGAAAAGGGGCTTCCAACAACGACTCACCGGTCCTGGCTGAATTTCTTGAACCACCTCCTAATCGAGCTGGGGCCCACGCAACTTCCATCGTCACACCATCAGGGTGAAATCCGTTCAGCCTCAAGGTTCCACAACCCTGGACCACACTCCCCTGCACATTAGAACCCCAAACGCCATCATCATGCTTGAAAGGAATCTACTTTGGGTGGACCTCTATTGAATTCCATGTGTAGCACTGAGGGGTATTGTCCCATTCAAAGCCGAAAACCTCGGTGAAGAAGGCATAAGTGCGTGTGTGCTAAATCAAATCAAGAGCATACTGGTCTGTGGGGGAACGAGGGGAAGTCCGGAAGGAATCGTCGGCGAGGAATCTGTCTGGGGATGCCTAGACACATTGTCGGGCTGAACAAGTTTCTGCAATTTGCAGCAGCTTGTGAAGAAGGGTGTCCCCAATTCTACGAAGCCACCTTCCCTCTCTCTCTCTCTCTCTCTCTGTCTCTCTCGCTCTCTCTCTCTCTCTATCTGTCTCTCTCGCTCTCTCTCTCTCTCTATCTGTCTCTCTCGCTCTCTCTCTCTCTCTATCTGTTTATTTATTTGTTTCTTTCTTTCTGTCTTTCTTTCTTTCTTTCTTTCTTTCTTTCTCTGTTTCGGTATGCTGGATTCACAACGGGCGTCTTTGGATGCTTGGCTCGCGACAAAGGCCGGTACACATTGTAAAAGATGTCCGGGTCAACACCTGGCACGAGACCGGCCATGCCACGCCCAAAGCTGAGACCAAAGGTTGGTGCTGAACCTCCTCGGGTTACTTGTTTCCTCTAAAGGACATGAGCAAATGAGGGAGTCACCGTCACCTGGATTTGGAAGAAAAATTAAGTGAGTGTACGTTCCCACCTAAATGGACCATAGACTGCCAAGAATTCTGACCGTGCCTCATATGGTTGGATTGAGCCTCGCAGAGAATGGCTTGTTCCCATGCCATGTTTCTGAAGGGTAGTCTGTCAGACGCCAAAGTATTTTGGCGGACTCGTTGACATACGGTTTCTGGACCGTCGCACATTCTGAGTGCAGCGGCGCCGGTGCTGGCTAGACTGCGCAGCCTTGACAGACTCTCTCGAAGACCAATCTGCCCGTGAGGCCATTTCTGAGGTTGTTTGTTGGAGGGTTCTTGGATTGCGGTGCTGTCTGTGAAGATCCTTCAGATTCAGGCCCTATGCAGGTGTCTCGGGATCCAGCCTGCCGTTAAGGTGGTGGGATTCCCGGAATTCCTGCCTTGAGGATACCGATCAATAGCAATCAAAGGCATGTTTATGATAGGACGCTGACCTGGCCTGCCTGTCTTCCCTCATGAAATTAGACTCGGTCGTATTCACATTGGCTCCTTCAGTATGCATGTTGGATCGGGTTTCCGAGACGACAGCCACTACATTTATGTCCGGTCACTTAGTGGGGGGGGGGGAGTGGTGTTTTCTCGTTTTGGTCGCTGTTGATCCAGTTACTTTTGCAGAACAACTATGTCTGGAGTCGCCAAGGGATCTGGAATCCCTTTGGGGTGGTGCCGAGCGAGGCTATGTCATCGAATGCAAAATATTAAGGACCCGCTTCGGCAAAAACTGGCTGACATATTGGCAGAACATCAGCTTGCCTCCATCGTCTCATGGCCAGTGGTAGCTGGCTTTGGTATCCAGGACTGACAAGGGATTGGGCAACGTTCACGACAGCCGAACTGAAAAGACAAGGACCCGAACTGCAAGGGGACGATCTTGAGCATGGGGGCCTCCGTTTTTCCGACCTCAATCTGTCACCTGAGTCTCACCTCTTGGTTTCTGGTTAAAGCCAGGTTGTGGGGACGAAACAGCGAAACAGGGCGTCCTATGCCTCGCCTGTTGCGATCTGCTTAAAGAAGCGCTTGAACTCTCGGAGGACATCTGCCACCTGCGAAGATGATGCATGCCGCTTCACCATCCCAATCAAACTAGTCAAAACATGGGTATGGCCTCCTTTGTTGTCTGCGATAAATATGTTTCTCCCAAGATGCATTAAGTCCGGAACTCACGAAAACATGGGTCTTCCTTTGGAGACCTCAAAATTGGCAGTTGTCTTCTTGGTTTCCCATTCAAGAACGCTGACACGTACTCACATGGCATCTGCTTTGCTTGCACCTGCAAAAAGCGGTTAGCAAATACAAACGAAGCGAGAAATGCAGAGGAACAAAGGAGAACTGCGTACTTGACTACTAACACCTTGAATGGCTTTGGTTAAAAAGTACACCACAACGTTTGGGGGTAGTATAAACCAGCTTAGCCTGGCGGGTGTTTTCGTGTATCCTCAGGCCGGTGGCATTTTCCTCTCTCTAAGAGACGTGGCCCCCCTACACCGCACCCCTAGACCACTTTACTGTGTTTGGATTTGTTGGGGGATTCCCTCTGAAGTCCACCTTCTGATTATTTGGTTATGAAAGTTAGCAGGGAAAACACACACACACACACACACATCCATTTAAGCCCTTGTTCAAAATCATTTCTGTTTTTTATGACATGCCAGCCAGTCCAAGCATCTGATTGATGCTCACAGGGACACGATGTGTCTGCAGTTGGGCGCCAGCTGCGGAAGCAAGCCAGCACCTTCCTTTCAAGCCTGGCCGATCTTAGCCCTAATGCCATTCTGCAAACGGGTTTGTTGATTGTCCGAGGGGAACAATTCATGAAACTGAAGACATTCAAAACGTAGCATGCCTTGCAATGCCTTAATGTTTTCAAGCCTTGCCCCAGCCGGCTCGTAAAGCAGCGCCTCAAGCAGCAAGGCAGCAAGCTCGTCCTCTGTTGCCAAATCCCACGGCTCCCCAAAAAGGGCGAGCCAACCATGTGACAAATTGTGGGTTTGCCTTGTTCGCTTGACAAGCACTTCCCATGTCTACGGAAAGCGTGGCAAAGACGTGTCACAAATCACCAAGCTGACCAAGCTTTACTGTTTCTGATTGCCGCTCAACATGTACAACATACATCTTGCAAATATTTGCCCCCTGGGTGATCAGGTTGTGCAAAGAGCAACTCTAAAGAGAAAGCTCTAAAGTCAAGACCAAACCTATGTGAGAGCCAAGGAGTAGAACATCATCAGCAACGGATGCCGATGTTAACACACACGTGCGCGGCCATGATCAAATGCTTCACAAACACCCGGCTCCTGGCGGCCTTTTCGGACAAGCACCTGGCAGCCAATGCCAAAACTCGCCCACCCGTCACGTTTTTGAGCCACCCCTTGGCAAGTTCAAGGGATTGACAAGTGACGTCAAGCATTCCTTCAGAAAGCGACTGGAGGTACGGCGGTTTCGCGGGTCCCAATGCCTTGCAGTACCTTCCGCAAGGGGAGGTCTGCTCGTCCTCTCGCTTTCTCGGGATCGCAAGAAAGAAAGAAAAGCTGTGTGGTACCACAGCTCACGTCGGATCATCACTTGGCCCATAAACCACAGGGATATACTTCAATGCTTAGACGATCAAGAATGAAAAGACCAGTCATTCTAACAAAACAATACACACGCAGTAAACCCTGTTGAGCGTTTACCACATATGGCCCCCCAACGCTTGTTCACGCTGAATGCAGCCGGCGCCGCGTCCGCCAGGAAAATCTTGGGCACCACCTGGCTTCCGATCGCAAGCTGGACATCACAACATGCGTCAAGGCAAGAGGAAACAACATGACACCAAGTGAGTCACAATCAATGGTAAAGATATGAACGGGCAGCTCATAGCTGCAACTGCCCTGCACCAACAACCAGCTCCCTCTAATTGGTGGTTTGGATTGGTGGTTTGGTGGTTAAGTGACCCTCTACAAGAACCATGGGTTCAAATCCCCAAACCACCAATCCAAACCCTCAGGGTCACCTGAAACAAAGCCCGCCAAAAGACTACAAAAAACACACACTGGGTCCTCCAGTAGAGAGGTTCGAACAAGGGCACCCTTTTTTTTCTGTAGTCTATTTTAGTAGGGGAACCCTCCCCCAAAAAGGTGGGGGACCTCGCATGGCAACGAGTTGGATTCTTCCGGTGTCATCCCGATTCTCAGACCTGAGCTGGCCTCCGCTGCGGCAGCTTGCATGGCACAGGGCACCATGTGGAAGACCCTGGCGAGCGGGACACAAAGGAAACCTGGCAGTAAGATCTCACTTCCCATCGAGTGGATTAGCCAAGAAGGTCCACTCCAGCGACTCGGGGAATTAGAGATAGATTCTCGAGCTCCCCCTCCAGATTTCGACAACACGCCGCGGGAAACGTGGATCCACTGATGTGGCAGCCCGGATCTTCATACTTGTTGCTGGACAGCCACGGGACAGCCTGATGGCCAGACTGCCAAACACCCCTGGTTCAACCTCCTGCATATTTTACAACGTGTTCACAACCTGACGGATCCCCAAGCCGCAAATGAGCTTGAACTCATAAACGTCAGCAGAACCTTCTCTCCACCGCAACCCTTGCTATCCCAAAGTCCTCGGAATGCCACCGGACCGGTGCCAAAGAACAATTTGCCAACCATTGGGCAACAAATCGCACCTCTGCGAACTACTCTTCAGGAGGAGATGGAGATTCAACCAATCCAGCCCACCGATTTGCAAAGCTCACCTCCTGTGAGGGTTGGCCAACCAAAGGGCTCATCGTTTTCCCACCTAAGATGGTCCATCCAGGCCCAGAAAGTGATGAAAGTCCACGCCTCTCCGAGCCACTGCCCGTCACGGTGATGCGCTGCTCCAGGTTGGCTGCCGAATGGTTTGGCTAGAATGACCCGCCCTGAATCATAAACACCCTAAGGTAGGCAAGGCGTTTGGATCTAATGATTTGTGGGCACTCAAAGCTCGCCACGGTGGACACCATGGCCAAATCAGCCTAGCGAAAGAGATGCACCTGATGCTAAGTCGTAAGGCCTTCTTTTTCCCCAAGCCAGACAACAGCTAGCCGGCATCTGGAAACAGCAGACGCCTTGATTTTGGTGGAACGAGGCAGAGCTTGACAAGCTCACTCGGCCAAAGGCCCAAGGCCTGGCACTTTCCAGCCAGGAACCGACATCTGCTGCGTGTCCCATCGGGCGGGATGCCAGCATTCATGCGAACGCAGAAATTTCGACTGAGGGAACCTAGGATTTGTTTGAAGCCCAGGGTGCTTGTTTTTTTGGTGTAACACTTACAAGCTGACTGGCAGGAGCGAGGCTGCCGGTGGATCAAAGGGCACAATTCCCTTGATCCGGTATTATATATGCAAGTAAAGGAGGAAAGCTAAATCAAAATCGGGGCATTGTGCTATCTACTCACACCCAATTGCATACCAACGTGTTGCGCCAAAGCAAGTGAACCCAGCTGGCCTTTTCAAAGTCGGGGCTTTGCCAACGCTACCCTCCTCAACCGCGCTCAGGCATGTGCTTGCCACATTGACAGGGGCGGTGCTCAGACATTGCATTACATTGCACTATATTACAATACGTTGTAGTGGAGCCTGAAGCTCCTGACCCACACTCGCAAAAAGCATCACCCCAAGTTTGTTGGTCGGATTGGCCTGCTTGAGAAGAGCAACCAACCCAGCCAAACCAACCCAACCCCCATCCCATTGCATATTGCATGAGCCATATTTACACCCTAAGCATTGGCCCTTTCGCCTGGCTCGAAGGGCTTGCTCGTGTCTCGCAGGCGCCAGTTCCAGAGGTCGGTGCCCTCAGACGCGTTGGTTTTCGTGTCGACGGCCGACACAACATTGTGGATGAATGCTAAGCCCTGACGACACCCTCTACTTGTTAAGGGGATCCTTTTTTAGGCGGGAATCCTTTCTGCCAGGAAAACACCCTTGATTTAACACGTTAATCAGGGGTCAACAGTCCTGATGCACGAAATCCTCGAGTTGATAGGGTTTCAGGGTGCATCCATCGCAGAGTTTGGTCCATCCACGTAAGGTGTTGCCCCGGATTTCTCCAAATCGACCACCAGCCATGCCGCAGTGAGTTTTGATGTCGGGCCCTGTGAGTGGCCGAGTCCCTCCCTCTTATCGCCCGCGGAGAGAGTGTCACTTGCCCGTGGGAAAAATATCAAACTCGCGGGCAAAAAGCAGCCGGGGTGCGGGGGGTAAAGTAGCAAAGGGGACCCTGTTTTTTTTTTTCGACAGCCACCCAGTGTTGTGCATGTTTTCGCCTGCAAACCAAGAGGCAACATCTCACATGGCGTTGGAAACTGCCCACAAGGTGCCAAGTTCCGTGCGGCCGCCGTCAGCACCGGAGGCATGCCCAGCTGCTGACACACCTACCACGCAAACTACGTCTCAGCCGCCTCGTTTGAACTGCTTGGTTGCGCCATCAACTTTGTCAAACTCATGTAGCAGGTGTGTGTGTGTGCATATGTATACAGATGTGTATAACATATAGCCCCGTTTATAACCAAAAAAGACGGCCATGGCACAAACTTGGTGAACTCTAAAATGCGAACATCATGCCCAAGGACATCCCAGCAAGCATCAACACTTTGGCATCCCCTTCGAAACGGTCATCGGTCATTGCCCGTCGGCTGATCTCTCGGAGCGCGTTCTGCGCGCTCGCCTCTGTCACAGGTTCCCAGGAGGGCAGAAGGGCGGCGGCAAAAGCTACAATACCGCCATGGATCAAAAGTAACAAAAGGTATTACGTTGCCTTTCCGATGTGATCCTTCACCCCTACAAGTAGAAGTCCAAGGTACCTTACCGAAGAGCGACCGAGCAAGTGCCAAACTGAAGCCTCAACGATGCCATGATAGGATGTGATAGGGGGGTTAGACGAGGCTCTGTTTTGTGTGGAATGCCTTTCTGGCCAGCTTAAAAGGGAAACCAACAGAAACAACACCACTTTGGATTGGGTACGGAAGATAGTTGCTTATGAGTCGATCATTGTTGTGGCAGGTGGTTGCATGTTCTTCCAGGAGTCCGTGCAGAAGAACACCCTAAACCCTAGGAAAAGTGGAATACAAGTCACAAAAAACATGGGATCCCCCCGTTTGATGCTTCCCAAAATTGCAAAGACGACTGCAAATACCTGCGACTTCTGAAAAACGGTGAGAACATTGCTATAGCAGGTGCTTGCATATGACTCATTGTTCGTTGATCATCGATCTTGGATTGCAGGTGTTCAATTCCTCACAAAAGGACATCTGGGTTCGTCTCAAAATGGGGGAACCCTGGCCAGGAAGGGAATTGCGACAAAAACTGGTGCCTTGATGCACGGGTGGGAATCCAATTGGTCCAGGTCCCTTTGAATCGCCAAATGCCAGTTCAACCACAGGGCGCCAATCCCTTTTTAGGTCGCGCTTCAAGTGCTCAAACCCATTCTTGATAGGGGCTGCCATCTGGGTTCTTCACCCTCATCCCATTTTCCACGCTCCGGGCAAGGGAAAGCACCATCTAGCAGAAATGATCTTGCGGGAAGAGGCCAAACAGTGTCCCGTAAAGGACGCGTTTGGGGCCAAACAACCCGATACCGTGCCAGCTTGAGAGAGTCCCTTATAGCAGATGCTTTTGGATGCATCCTTCCGGAATCCTAATGTTGACCCAACAAAAAAATCCCCCTTGAATGTTTATGGGGAGGTCAACCCTCGGGCGGGAGGAGGCAGACACAGCACCGAATCGAACTTTCCCATCCGAATCGCCTGCAGCCAGGGCTCCGACACCTGCCGCGGCAGCCGTGCCTTGTGCCTCGGTGAAATATTTGGCACACCGCACCGCCGGCCTGGCAATTTATCGCACACAAATGTGTGTATTTTTTTGGGAACATTTGTTTGGTGGGTTTCAAAAGGAAACCACAGAGCAAACCAACATGTTTGGAGTCCCCTAAAACAAGATATACAAATCGTTTATGCAGGCCACTGGTAAAAGCGGTATTTGGCCTTTGGAAACTTGTCGCCCCTTTGGCAACTGGCGCTGCTTGAGGCTCCCTATGCTCACAGATCCAAACTGCCCGATACGTGCGCACCCAGCCGTAATGTTGACCCCGAACCGCCGAACCAGGCGAATCAACAGAGAGCATCCCCTCTCAAATGGGACACCTCCTTTGTCTCAACCGGGAATTCAACAATTCCGGGCTCTCCCACTTGCCCGCCTCTGCTTGGTTAGACTGGGTTGGTTACAAGCCCAGTCACCCCCACTTCGGTTCATAGCGCCATGTACCCAAACAGCCAAGCACACGTGGAGCAGCACGGCCCAAACGGTACGACATGTACGACCTTCTGGGGCCCAGAGCTGCGGCACTCTGCCGTCCTCGCCTTGCCGGGAACCCTTTTCATCGAGTCCCCTGACTCTTCACTTTGGGCTGAAGCTGAACCCAGGATTGATAAACCTCAGCTTGAACAATAGGGAGTGCCCAAACAGAGGGAACCCGTTCCGTTTGGGGTCCACGCCCTATCAATGATCCATCCGGGAGCTTTCCGATGTGGACATCAGACGGTAGAAGGTCGATTGAGATGGCCACTGGGACTCTGGGAATCACCGTGGATGCGATGCGAGGCTCAGCCAGCAAACAACCACTGCGGTTTCAAATCTAACAAACAAATGGCTGGTTACCTGATATAGGGATAACTAATCCGCCGACCCCTTTCTCCAAAGGGGAGGCGCATGGGAAGGGCTTGTATTCGTCTTTGTCTTCGTGATGTTTATCAGCACCACTGATGTTGGGTGATGGGTTCGCAGCATCCGGGTCATCAGCATTCTACGTTTCAAGCTTGCCGTTCAACCCGGCTTGGAATGCAGTGATGCATTTTAGTCATGATTGTTATGACAGCTGCTGCTCATGCAGGGGATGCATAGTGATGATTGCCATCAGGATATCATCACGGTAACTGCTGGTGATGCTGGAGATGCGTAGTGATAATCATCAGGGTCATCATGATCATCATGAGCAATGCTGCATCTGATCATCATCATCACTCTTCTCATCATCATCATGATGGTCATCATCATCTCTTTCTTGTTCTTATATGCATTTCAAAAGTAACGTTAGATGCATTGGCAATGCAGAGGATGCTACGATGATAGTTATCATCACAGTCCTCATCCTTATCATCATTATCATCATGGTCATCATCATCATCTCTTACTAGCCGCAGCATCCGGATCATCAGCATTCTACGTTTCAAGCTTGCCGTTCAACCCGGCTTGGAATGCAGTGATGCATTTTAGTCATGATTGATATGACAGCTGCTGCGCATGCAGGGGATGCATAGTGATGATTGTCATCAGGATATCATCACGGTAACTGCTGGTGATGCGTAGTGATGATCATCAGGATCATCATGATCATCATGAGCGATGCTGCATCTGATCATCATCCTCATCACTCTTCTCATCATCATCATGATGGTCATCATCATCTCTTTCTTGTTCTTATATGCATTTCAAAATGCAGAGGATGCTACGATGATAGTTATCATCACAGCCCTCATCCTTATCATCATTATCATCATGGTCATCATCATCATCCCAGCACTGGTGATGCCGAGGAAGCTACGATGATAGCTATCATCACAGTCCTCATCCTTATCCACGGTCATCATCATCTCTCATTAGCCGGCACTGGTGATGCGGAGGATGCTACGATGATAGTTATCATCACAGTCCCTGATGGTCATCATCATCTCTTCCTTGTTCTTATATGCATTTCAAAAGAAACGTTAGACAGCATTGGCAATGCAGAGAATGCCTCGATGATGAGAAGAGTAATGATGATGATGATGACGACCATCATCATGATGATGATGAGGAAGATCCTGTGATGATAACTATCATCGTAGCATCCTTTGCATCACCAGTGCTGCCTAATAAGAGATGATGATGACCGTGATGACAATGATGATAAGGATGAGGACTGTGATGATAACTATCAGCGTAGCATCCTTTGCATCACCAGTGCTCCCTAATGAGAGATGATGATGACCGTGATGATAATGATAATAAGGATGAGGACTGTGATCATAATTATCATCTTCCTGACGGTCATCATCACCTCTTTCTTGTTCTTATATGCATTTCAAAAGTAACGTTAGACAGCATTGGCAATGCAAAGGATGCTACGATGAGAGTTTTCATCACAGGCCTCACCCTTATCATCATCATCTCTTATTAGCCGGCACTGGTGATGCCGAGGATGCTACGATGATAGTTATCATCACAGTCCTCATCCTTGCCATCATTCTCATCACGGTCATCATCATCTCTTATTAGGCAGCACTGGTGATGCAAAGGATGCTACGATGATAGTTATCATCACACTATCATGATGATGGTCGTCATCATCATCATCACTCTTCTCATCAAGCATCTCTTTCTTGTTCTTATATGCGTTTCAAAAGTAACGTTAGACAGCATTGGCAATGCAAAGGATGCTACGATGAGAGTTTTCATCACAGGCCTCATCCTTATCATCATTGTCATCACGGTCATCATCATCTCTCATTAGGGAGCACTGGTGATGCAAGGGATGCTACGATGATAGTTATCATCACAGTCATCATCAGGATCTTCCTCATCATCATCATGATGATGGTCGTCATCATCATCATCATCACTCTTCTCATCACCATCCTGATGGTCATCATCATCTCTTTCTTGTTCTTATATGCATTTCAAAAGTAACGTTAGACAGCATTGGCAATGCAAAGGATGCTACGATGAGAGTTTTCATCACAGGCCTCATCCTTATCATCATTGTCATCACGGTCATCATCATCTCTCATTAGGGAGCACTGGTGATGCAAGGGATGCTACGATGATAGTTATCATCACAGTCATCATCAGGATCTTCCTCATCATCATCATGATGATGGTCGTCATCATCATCATCATCACTCTTCTCATCACCATCCTGATGGTCATCATCATCTCTTTCTTGTTCTTATATGCATTTCAAAAGTAACGTTAGACAGCATTGGCAATGCAAAGGATGCTACGATGAGAGTTTTCATCACAGGCCTCATCCTTATCATCATTGTCATCACGGTCATCATCATCTCTCATTAGGGAGCACTGGTGATGCAAGGGATGCTACGATGATAGTTATCATCACAGTCATCATCAGGATCTTCCTCATCATCATCATGATGATGGTCGTCATCATCATCATCATCACTCTTCTCATCACCATCCTGATGGTCATCATCATCTCTTTCTTGTTCTTATATGCATTTCAAAAGTAACGTTAGACAGCATTGGCAATGCAAAGGATGCTACGATGAGAGTTTTCATCACAGGCCTCATCCTTATCATCATTGTCATCACGGTCATCATCATCTCTCATTAGGGAGCACTGGTGATGCAAGGGATGCTACGATGATAGTTATCATCACAGTCATCATCAGGATCTTCCTCATCATCATCATGATGATGGTCGTCATCATCATCATCATCACTCTTCTCATCACCATCCTGATGGTCATCATCATCTCTTTCTTGTTCTTATATGCATTTCAAAAGTAACGTTAGACAGCATTGGCAATGCAGAGGATTCTACGATGATAATTATCATCGACGTCGTCCATCATCATCCAGGGGGGTGGGGTCTGATCATGACTCAAGTACGCAGGGTTGAAGTTTACAGTGAAACCAAAAAACAAGACCAAAATTTGACCGGGGCGAAAATTTAACATTTCACCCAAAAGAAACCAAAGAAACCAAAACCAGGGGCACTGTTTTCTTTTGCTCGAAAACCACAACTAAATCCGGGGGTCGGCGGCACTGGGCGGCAGCCCTTAAATCCGGCCGCCGGACGTGATCGGGCCGCAGGCCAAAGCCCGTTAGGGCTTACCTTCAGGTATAAGGCCGCGCGCCCCATGCCGCCGACCATGAGCGGACCATGCGCATACGTTTTGGGCTGGGCCTTCCTTATGAGGGGCGAAGGATTCGCGGATTGGTTTAGGCGATTTTTGTAGCATCTCCCCGCAGCGCCCAAAAACGAACATTTTTAGGTGGTGCCTAATACTGGACAACACCCCCAGCATTGCCAGCACCATCCCGGATGTTGCGGATGATGCTATGCATGCTGGCGATGCGGGGGATGCTAGGGATGTTGTCCCCTAAGTCGGGCCAATTTTGCCGAAAACGTGCAACCTGAAAATCTAAAAATCTAAAAATCTAAAGTGGATGGAAACGGATGGAAAATGGCCTGGATTGAAATCTCAAAATCCTAAAGTCTTAGATTCTTAAAATCTTAAATTAATATCTAACAATCAATCTTAGAATCTCAAGATCTTAAAATCTTAGGACGAATCTAAATCCAAAAATATAAAAACTTCCTAAAGTCTTCGAATATTGAAATCTTTAAAAACCTTATGTCTTAGAATTTTGAGATCTTAAACTCTTAAAATATGAAATCTTAGAACCTTAATTCTTAAACCATTGAAACCTTAAATTCCGAAAGTCTTCAAATCTGAGACCATAAGAATCTCAAAGTTTTTAGAATTTTAAAATCTTAACATCTACTCATCGGACTTACAGGAAAGGGAAGTGACAGAAACCCTCATGTCTTTGAATCTTCAGATGTTAAAATCTTAAAATATGAAATTCCTAAATTCTCAAAGTCTGAAAATCTCAGAATCTTAAAAGCTTCAAAAACTTAAATTCTTTAAATCTCGAACTATTGCAGTCTGAAAAATCTTAAATTCATAAACAAGTAAAATATAATAAAATTCCTTCAATACGGGCTATATTATTCTAAATTCCTTAAACTCTTAATCTTCAACTTTTGAAGTCTTGACATCTTAAGATCTTAAAATCTTAAATTCCGAAAGTCGCCAAATCTGAAAATCTCACAAAAAAAGAATCTTAAAGCCTTCGAAATCTGATAATGGATGGTAAATGGCTGGGCAATGGCCTGGCTGTTATAACCTTCAAAAGCCTTAAATCTTCGAATCTTAAAACCTTAATTCTTCAACCATTGAAACCTTAAATTCCGAAAGTCTTCAAATCTGAGACCCTTAGAATCTCAAAGTTTTTAGAATTTTGAAATCTTAACATCTACTCATCGGACTTACAGGAAAGGGAAGTGACAGAAACCCTCATGTCTTTGAATCTTCAGATGTTAAAATCTTAAAATATGAAACTCCTAAATTCTCAAAATCTTAAAATCTCAGAATCTTAAAAGCTTCAAAAACTTAAATTCTTTAAATCTCGAACTATTGCAATCTGAAAATCTTAAATTCATAAACAAGTAAAATATAATAAAATTCCTTCAATCCGGGCAATATTCTAAATTCCTTAACCTCTTAATCTTCAA